ACCCAACAACGACCTTTCATCCACCAAAACATATTCTCAAAACGCCCAAAAATCCACACCCCATTACTATTTAATTTTTTTTCTTGATGTTGTAGTTTTGATCTTGTTGATGGTAATAGTTTACCAAATGAGTTGAAAGAGAGTGGGTGGGTCTTCATGGTTGGTATGGTGGTGGGTGTGGGAGCAAATATTTCCGTCTTCAATCACAGCACGCCACGTGAAAAAGAAGATTATCTCTTAAATTAACTAATTGAACCAGTTTATCTGGCTAATTAATTAATAGGGATAAATATCTTAATTAATAGGATATTATCTTTATTTAATAAGATAATATCATTAATTCAGATATTATCCTAATAAAGAGAAGATAATATCGTTAATTTAGATATTATCTTAACAAAGAGAAAATAATATCATTAAATCAGATATTATCTTCAATAAAGAGATATAATCAAGCTCGACTCGATCCCTATGAATTTGGGTAGGGAATAAACTCATCATATTCTCTACAAAACCCTAGCCCCGAGGCTCCTATAAATAGACGACTTCATTCATTATTCAAGGTACATCTAAACCTATTCCTAAACCTGAGAAAAATACCCGAAGCTCTCTCTCCCTCTCCACTCTCCATATTTTTTTTCCACATGGCTCCGACAACCACACATGGCTCCGGCCACCCGGTTCACACCATACATACAACTCCATACCCTTTGCTTAGCTATTGTTTTCCTACAAACACTCGAACTAACTTAGGCATCGGAGGGCCTTTGGCCAACACACCTCCATGTGTGGTTTATTTAGTCCAGTCTTTTTTACAGGAAGCAAGGAAAAGATAGAAGGAAGATCGAAGGTTGAAGGATCTAGAAGCGAATATTCTCCCGCGAGATTATTTGCACAAACAGTAGGATGAAGTGGGTGGTAGCTGGTCGGGGATGGGGTAGGAGGAGGGTTGGTTAGGTTTTTTTTCAATGCTTTTTAATTGATGTTTTGGTAATTGAGAGAGAGGGGATGAGAGAGAAAGAGGTGGAGAGTAGAGAGGAGGGGGGAAAACATAAGGAGAGAGAGGTCTGTGAGGGAATGTGGGAGAATAAATCAAAGGGAGGGGACACTGGGTTTGGGTCTTATGATTGTTTTTCTCTTTTTCCTCAATTTTTTCTAATTTTATATTTATTTTAACCCTATTTTTATTTGTTAATTATAAAAAGTCGTATTTATCCTCAAATTTGGTTAAATCTAATAGAAAATTAGACTATGGGACCAATGAACCGAATAATATAGAGTTGATAGACCATTTGAACGAATTATTTAGTTTAAGCACCAAAATGTAAATCGGGTACAAATTTGAGAACCATTTGAATAATTAACCCTTAAAATTCAAGCACAAGAATTTCTATAATGGCATGTGCTTTGTTGCTTATCTTTACCATTAATGTTTACCAAAGAAAACAAATCTTTACAACTAACCTATCAAATGAATATTTACTTGCTAAGCAATATTACAAATCCCTGTCGCTTGCCTTCCCCAACCCAGCCCCAGCCGCTCCATGTCCCATTTGATCGCGTTGAAAATGTCGTCCCCTGTCGCTTTCGCAAACGCCATAGACCTCTTCGTCTTCCTGTACTCCATCCACAATAACGAGTCGGTGTGCTCCAATGCTGTTTGGAAGGAGTGGTTTTGAGGGTTTTGGGGCGGCTAAGGTGGTTAGAGCGAAGGGAGGAACTAGTGGGGCAGTGATGGCTACCCCAAGTGGGTTGGTGGAGGAGGAGGTCAAGACTCAAGTAGAGAGAAAGAAAGAGGGAGAGAGAAGAGAGAAGTAATGTATTTTTCTTTTTTCTTTTTTTCTATTTATTAAAATTTTTAAATAAAATATTTTATTGTTTTTTTTACAGGTGGCACTTAGGTGACATATATTTAAACAAAAGAGTGAGTCCTATTTGTGTCACATCAGCGTTTTTAAAAGAATTTTTAACAGAGTTAATAGTGGGGGGCAAAGTGAACCACCAGACCTTGGTCAAGGGGGTACTTTGGGTTATTTTAACTTTCAGGGAGTAAAGTGAGATTTGACCATAGTTTCTAAGGGAACTACAGTAAATAAGCCTTTAATTTATGAATTTATTTTACCACACATTTACTTTTATTTAAAGTATGGTGCGGGTTTATCGTCCATACCAACAATTTATTTACAAGCAATTTATAACAATTTATTTTATGAATTAATTGTGTTATATGATGAGTTTTACAACATATAGAGATCATGACCAGAAGTTCCTTGATCCTCATCATACAACTACATCATGACCTAAAGATCCTTGATGATGATAATGATATGAAACCTAGCAATCTCCCCAGTACTATATTTATAAACAAGAGATTAGACCTGAAGATCTTTGATCCTTGACATGTAAATAAGGACCTAGAGTCCCTTAATAATGTAACAGTACCGTATCAGTTAATAGTACAGTACACATAAATTGTAAATGTACTAACAAAGGTATGAATAGTAACCATATATGTGAATAGTGCCGTACACATGAATGGTAACTCTATTGGCAAATGTACTATATGCATGAATAGACACGTATTCATGACTTGATAAATAGTACTGTATACATAAATAGTGACGTATGCATAAATATTTACCATTTTGGGTAAACCGTCACTGTATACAAAAGGGAACCTGTAGTTCCGTAAACTCATGGATGAGCAATTAAATGAGATGCCAAAAGTTCCTCAAAACATGAACAATTATGTAAGGGCTTGAAGTCCCGAAATATGTATAGGAAATTATAAAAATATCCATACCATGAGAATATGTGATTTTGGCATGAAGTTCAAAATCTAAGAGTTTTGAATGTCCATACCATGAAAATATGTGATTTTGGCTTGAAGTTCAAAATCTAATAGTGTTGAGAACCTGAAGTTCCAACATTTAAATGGACAACCCTTGAGGTATTATTGCAAACTGTGGTACACCACATATTTCTTTGGCATAAGAAAATGATGAATTTAATAAAGCTAGATTCTGTTACAATCGAAACATCAAGAAAGAAATATACTTTGTGAATTCTAGTTGTTAAGAATACACCATGAAATGAATAATTTCAGGATAAACTGACAAGACCAGCCCCGGATTCCCCCTCGGAATCCATGACGAACCCTGCTTCCCATCCAATATCTACCCAATGTCGAACCCACTTTACTAAAAACCCTGTAGCCCTTCTTTAAAAGGATAAACAGTTTGACTTCTACCAAAATTTCGGTATGCACAAGGTAAAGGCACAGGTACCCTAAATTATAGTACCTGTAAACAAGTACAGAAATAACCCCAACTTCCAACATGGACAAGGTAAAGGCACACTTAAGACTAATCAAATGCCCTCTACCTAGACTCGGATAGAGCAAGCAGAGCAACTAAAGAATTTAGTTTACAATGCGGGGAAAGAGAGTAGAGAAAAGTTAAGGAAAAGTTCCTACAGAGCGGACACCCACGATGCCTCGACGTGGTGGTCTCGACCTCAGATATCTAGGACCTGGG